AACCTGGATGGATCCCCATGAGCAGCCAGCCACGGCTCCACCATGGAAGCCCCAAACGCATCTGAAACCTGCCAGCTACCCTCCGATCTCCTCAAATCCACACCTCTCGAGCTCCCCAAAGTTTTGCTACACTCTGCCAGATTCGCCTGCTTTGCGAGCCAGTGCACCACCTTCATCCCATCCTCAAATGCCGCCGGGTACTTATCCTCCGGCGCCAGCCTGTACCCAACTGCCAGCACAATCACGTCACACAGCCTCGCGATCCTCCGGCAGAAAAAATCGTTGGCGGCCGAGTCATTGCTGCCGCTCACGAAGCCCCCGCCATGGAACTGCAGCATCACCGGCAGCCGGCGGCGGTTTTGGCTGACCGGATTGTATCCTCTGTAAATCCCGTTGTCGGATATCAAACTGTCCTCTACGCTATTTCCGTAGCTATTTCGTCTGTTGTTGCTGCCGGAGCCAGGCATGCCGGCCAAAGATCCGTAACTGTACCGGCGTGTTGTAGCTTGATTCAGATCCGATCTGGGGCTCGATGATCCGGCCCGGGATCTCGTACGTGTCTCGGGGGAATGGAGGCAGGTATCGGGAAGGAAAACGCGGACGGAGAGATATGTAACGGGATCGATGTGGACATCCTTGGTGGCGACGCCGTCGGTGAAGGAGGGATTGGCGGCGGCCGCGGTTTCCTCATCCGGACGCGAGGTAACACCGAAGGAGGAGCCGCCGCCAGCGTCGTTTTCCGGCGACTGCAACCGGCTCTGCAAGCGATGCTTCAGCATTAATTTGAAGAAGACGCTGTATAATTTCACACCAATGCTTGGCATTTCCCGACCCCCAAAAAAAAAAAAAAAACAGATTGGATCTGTATGTGAATCTATCTTATTACGGATACAATTTTTGGTATTTTTCCTTCCCTGCAGCTCATCGAGACCCAAGAACTGTGACGCCCCAAGCCCAGCTTGTGGATTTCACAATTAAATTCCGCTAGGGTTTTTGCTACTGACAAAGAAACTCAAATCTCCCAATTTTTGAATCCCTGTAAGAGAGAGAGAGGAGGGTGGGAATGTAGAAGTGTATGCAAAAACACAATGACGAATACAAATTGTATTCTCATTTTTGAGATTGTTAGATGCAGGTTTGCACTGTTTGTGTGTATTTGTATTATTTATTACCATTTGGTCTTGACCATGATCGTACGTAGTCAAGAGTCCCACAAAAATCAAACGGTACAAGCTGAGGAAGCGTGAGGAGGGAGATAAGTGCGGGGATCATGCCGTCGAGATGTAGTAGATAAATGTAATTACTCTCCTATTTACACAAAAGTAGACTTGAGCTATTTGGTAACACTAAGCTTTAGTTGATAACTTAGTTTATAAATTATAAGTGGTTTAGAGTTTGTATAGTTTATAGTTCATGATTTATAGTTGAAAAATTAGTTTATATAATAAAAGTATTTGATAAAATTAGTTGATAAGCTAGCTGAAATAAAAATTTCAACGAGTTTATTTGAAAAGGTATCCTAATAAGCTTATGAAATAAACTCGAGCTTTTTAAAAAAATTTGTCCTACCAATCGAAAGCTTATTTAAATAGAAGAAACTTATAATCTAACTAAAATAAACTATAAACTAGTTTATTTGGTTACCAAATACAACCTCTTTATCAATCATTTATTGTAACGAAAATAAATTACATCAATGGCTTTCTAATGTACTCCATGGCTAAAGAGTTTTTACCTTATATGGTTTTATTTAGTTGATATCATGTGACGATACAAATAAATAAGAACTACGAACGATAGAGGTGTAAAGAGTCGAGCTCTTAGAGCCAAGTACGAATTCGACTCGCTTAGTTAAACGACCTCGAGCTCGGTTCAACAAGTCGAGTTTGAGTGTTACCGGCTAAATTCAATTCGAGTTATAGAAATTTACTTAAAAATTTCTATTTTCGAGACTTAATGAGCTCAAGCTAGCAAACTCGCGAACAGTACTTTTCTTTTAACAACTATGTAACAATAAATTTTATGAAAAACGTAAAACTTTTGTAGATAATATATAATTTTTTTTTTCATTTTTTATAAATATATATTTATTAGAAAGGTATGGTTATTTTACAATTATGCTATCGTACTTAGCATTAATTATATGAAGTGGATCTTTACTCAAAATTAAATAAACTAAAAAAAAATAATTACACAAAGAACATGAGTAGTATTGCACTATTGCATCTAGCACTGTCAAAACGGGCCATGGCCCGCGATTGGCCCGTCCGTCCGCCTAAATGGACGGGCTTGGGCCTTTGCTTGGCTAGCCCGTTCAATCGCGGGCCTATTTGGCCCGCCCCCGTTCGGCCTGCGGCCTAAAGCGGGCTGGGACGGGCTGACCCGCGGTCCAGCCTATTTTTTATTAGTTATTTATTTGTTAATTTTATATTATTTAAATTTAGTATTTTTTATTTTACTTCTAACTTCTAACTTGCGTCGTTCAAGTTTCAAAACTCTTCACTTTCATTTTACTACGTCTACGTGACCCTAGCCCTCCCGCGCAACTCGTCTCTTTGATGTTTGAATTTTACTTTGTTGTCGGAATTTGATTGTTTGGATTTTACTTTGAATATGATCTGCTATGGGAATTTGAATGTTTGTTAATTAGTAATTACTATTGATGGACTTATTTATTTTGTTGGATTTTGTCTTTATGTCTTTTTTTTTCCTCTTCTTCTTCTTCTTCCATATTTATTTATTTTATATTTTTTAAAATTTGACAATGATATTAAGATTTGTGAATGCACATGAAACACTTTTTTACATAATAAAAATATTAATGAATCAAATAATATTTTGTGTAAATTAAGTCTCTCCTCCGCGTGAATAACCTATAACTATTCATAAAAAAAAATAAAAATAAAATCTGGATGACAAATATTTAACATCATTACACATGAAGTCTTACTAGTTTATTAATATACTAGTAAATATAAGGGTAAACAAACCAAAAAGTATATAAGAGTGCATAATACCAAAAATCCGCGGACGGGCCGATTTGGCCCGCGGGCTAATGAGGGCGGGCCACGGGCCATGGATTTTCCAGCCCGTAGAAATGCGGGCCATTTTGGCCCGCCCCGTTTAAACTGCGGGCCAGCGCGTGCCAGAGCGGGCCGGACCGGACCGACCCGTTTGACACTGCTAATTGCATCCTTTAATAATAATTTCCACACAAGGAGCTGTGTGTTGAGTAATCAATGTTCCTTGAGAATGAGGTGAAAGCTATCACAAGTTTTAATCAATATGCCATCCAGAGCACTCACACATATTCCTCCACTCTCATTTTCCACTTTTACAATAAGGTGGGTTTGGTTGGAAGGATTAGGCTTGATATCCTGCCATTTGTTAATATATCAAGCCATTTATTTTGTTTGGTTGCTTTTTGTATAGCCCGTTTAAACCCGCAAAAGCCCGGTCACTTTTCCCCTTTTTTATTATTCGGTATCCGGCCTTCTTTGTGGGATGGGGTATCATTTTCATCAAATCATTAAAATACCATAAAATACCTATCTTCTATTCTCTTCATCGTGGCTTCCCTCCATTCTCATGTTCATTCCCGACGACATTCCGCCGCCTCCATCCCCACTGCCACCCTCGCTCTCCCCTCTACCGCCGCCGCCGCCGCCTCGGTCCCCCGTCGAGACATCCGCCCTCGTCTAACACAAAAGGAAAGTAGAAAAAGACCCCCGCAAGCGTTACCGCTCCGAGAAGAGTCGCGCCGCCGCCTATGGCGGCACCTGCCACCGGTTCTCCTACCTCGCCAAGCATGTGAATATCTTATACCGCCGTCAATTTTTCAGATTCTATCTATTTTTTCTGGTGTGCTTTCTTTTCCTTGTCAATTGGGGGTTTTTTGATTGTGAAGAAGATAAGAAATATTAATTTTGGGTCCTAATCTATGAGTAAATTTTGGGATGAATTTGGTGCACATTCAATTTGAGGTGAGAAAGGATGATGACAAGAAAAATAATAATTTTGTGTTCTAATCTATGATTTGGTTTTGGGATGAATTTCGTACACCAATTTGAGATGAGGAAGCATGAGGAACGTGAACTGGGTAGTGTTTAGGTAAACAAGGGCAAATTGTGAAAATTGAATTTTGAATGAAGGGTAGAAAAATAATTTCCACCTAAGAGATATAATTTTCAATCACAAACCAAACAAGTTAATGGGCTAATTGAATTGATGGATAGCCTTTGATATTATCAAGAATGATTATATCAAGCACAATCAGTTTTTGTAACCAAACTGACTCTAAAGAGAAATAAGAAAACAAATAAATAAAATAATCTAAAGTACAGAATAGAACAGGCGCGCATTCATGACACCGTAATGCTACATATTTATATATAATAATTGCAGATGAGAGAATACATGAATCAAAATCCACCTAAAAAAATTCTACACAGAGAAAACAGAACCAAACAAAACAAACCAAAAAATCAAAAAGAAAAGCACAACCCTTCACTTAACCTCAAATTCTCTAAAACCGACAAATGAGAAAAAAAAAACCAATTTGCCAATAAATATCACATACAGTTAAAAGACACTACAGCCGTTTTTAGTAGCAGGCCACATCCCAATTCCATATGTACACTAGTTCCCCATTTTCTGAACAGCAAAAATATATTTTCCATCTGCTCCCCTTTTCTTTTTCTATCCTCTCTTTTTTTTTACCTTTTTTTGGCCATACATGTCCCATCCTCACTTATTCGGGTGCGACCCAAAAGAACGATCAGTCAAGACCACAGAATAAAAATAAATAAATAAACATTGAGCATCGAAATCTTTTTACCCAGATGGCGTTTTAGTGCTCGTCCTTAAGGGCACAAGAACTGGCTCATTGCTGGCAGCTTTGGCCGTGGCTATTTCCTCAAGGTGTTTCCAGGTGGAGTCTCGTTTGGCCTTGATTTCCTGTTCTTGGGCTTCATCTTCTTGAAACTTGAGTAGGCACTCTTGTAATAAGTCAGGGTCCACGTCAGAGAATATCTTGCGAACATTAAGGGTCAGACTCTGGACTGCCTGATTCCAGTGGGCCCGCGCGTTTTTCTCTAGTGAGGGGAAGATTATTGGGAGTATGACCTTACGGTTTTGTTTGATGAGGTTCTCGATGTGGTCGTTGTTCCATAAGAAGAGAGCCCTCTCTGCCACCTGTAAAAGGAATTCACAATAATCACCNGCAAATGGAGCCGGAAGAGTCATTGTTGACAATTCTCCTGGCATAGTGCTAATAATGGATTAGATCAAAATGACTCAATTAAATTCTAGTGCTTCTTCTATTAGTAATAGAAGTTTCTAGAAAAAAAAATATATATCAAACGGCGCAATGCACCTTGGGTCGCTACGGAAACAGCCTCCTTGTATAATTACAAGGGTAAGGTCTGCGTACAACTGACCGCCCAGACCCCAACCTGTTGGGAATATACTGGGTATGTTGTTGTTGTTGTTGTTGTTTTTTCGAATAGATAAGCACTTTTACTATTTCCCCACTCTCCCTTTCATAGTTCAACTTTTTTAGCGTCTACACAAGCACAGTTCCAATTTCAAAGTTTCAACTTAAGGACCAGCTGCAATGCACATCACTTTTACTAAAACTAGAAGATTTTGCCGCCTTAACAGCTGTATACTGTGTAACGCATTTTCTGAAGCTTTCAACTAAAGTGAACTCAAAAAGTCCAATTAGATATTCATCGTTCAAAAATAAGAACTTAAGTTTACAAGTTCACTGTGAATATCTTGTTTCCTAATAATCATGAGATCTTCAGCTGACATAAGAAAGCAGAAAAGGGATGCGTGCAAAGATTACAACTTTATTACAGTGTCTTGCGGAATATTGCCTGATAAGAAAGTTGTAACTTGCTAATCTACACGGAAATATTTTTCCATTCGTAATTATCCCCATCAGAATATTATATTAGCAAAATCCCATGTGGTCAGAAACAAAATACAGTCATAAAGTTCAAAAAGAAATAATGGGCCAACCGCAGAAAGAAATGGGTCAATTGACTTGGCCACCTGACCAGTGCAAGGAAAACAAAATTATGGTAACACGATTGTACAAGTAAAGCAATCTCTGAAGTAAAATTGGTGGATTTCAGCCAGGGTATAATTAAATAGATTTGATAAGGCAACAAAATCATTTCGAATGGCGGTCAAAATGCTTCTATCCAGAACACAGAAAAGACAAGAGCTTTTTGTCTTTTTCTTCGAGAACAAAGAAATTGAAGTTGCTACATTTTTTTAAATCTTACGTCTTGACCTACTAGAATGCAATCAATCAATTATGAATCCACAAATATTTGACGTGCCTACATCATAGAACTTTAATATATCCAGCTGACGAAGGCCATAGGGTCAAATGTAAGCGAATAAAAAGGAATGATGGAAGAGCAAACTGGGGAGGAGGCCAAAAGTAAATGAAGAAATTGAAATATAACACACAATGTACGGAAACTAACAGTGAAATAAAGATTCCTTGTGAAGATGTGCTAAATTTCATAACTGAGTACAAAAACACTCAATATTAGAAAATGATTGATGTTAAGGGGGAAAAAAAAAAGAAGAGAAAACACTTAAAGAAACTAGAGATATTTACAAACATCCCTTCAGAGTAGCTGTAGCTTAACTGCAAAACACTCCAGTTGATTTTCCAAACTTGAAATTAATCATAACTGAGCACACCACCCCTCAAAAGACTATCACTTTAAATAACAGAAAACCTCTTGAAGTTATAATTTGTAAAGCATAACTAAAATTAGAGCGGCAAGTAGTACATTCAAAAGATAACCAGTTCGCTTTGCCATTAAGATAAAACTCAGGATATCTTTGACTCTCTGTAGTTATCCCTAGATAAGATCTCAAACTGCCACCAAGCATACAACAGAGATAATTTAAAAGATAACAAGAAATGAATGGAAAAAGAAAAAAACAGAGAGAAACCTTCATCCTAACCTGAAAATGCGAGCTGCTGAGGCATCGACTGATCCTCCGGAACAAAGGCACCATGCAGCGCTGGAACTCAGGCAGCTGGGTCGCCTCCAAAACCTCCTCCAACTCCCCCAAAAACATCACCTCCTTCGAACTATTAGTCACCGGCCAATACTTAAGCAGCCCCCTTACGACAGTATCCGCCAGCTTGCAGTCCTTCTCCACAAACTGCGTTACGCAGTACGAGAGCTGCTGGTGGTACGCCGGTATGCTTTTCGGCTTGTGAAGCGGAATAAGCGCCCTCACGAGAAAAAGCTTATGCTCCTCCTTCAGTGGCAATGCAAACCCATTGATTATACTCCCCAGAATCTCCAACAGCTCGGCTATCCCATTATGCTTTTCCGTCTCGAATATGAATCGGTAGAAAATATTGTTGATGGCTTTCCTGATGTAAGGTCGATGAACCATGAACTTACCGTATATGCGGTGAAGCACGGTCTTGAGGTAGTCCCTCTCCCTGGGGTCCTCCGAGTCGAAGAGGTCGAGTAGGCGGAGCACGAATGAGTGGTCCACGTAGCGCTTCGCCAGCTTGGCATCCGTTTCTGGGGAGGCCACGAACCGGAGGAGAAGCTCGTAAACGACCTGCAGGTGGGCCCACGCGGGGTCCATCAGCGGCTCTTCCTCCTCTAAATCGAAGGCCTCGAGGGCTCGGCTCTCGCGCGCCAAGGCATGGGACGTGCGGAAAAGGTTCGCGGACACCATGCGCACCATCTCTTGCATTGCGGTCTCCGTGAATTTCGCGTTGGCCGAGGCCACGTAGTCCACGAGCTCGACTAGCGTCTGCCGTTTGATGTCCTTTTCCTTGAGGTTTGCTGTGGGGTCCGCGAAGTCGAACAAGACGCAACATAGGTTCAGCTTTTTGAGGAATAAGGTCTGCTTCTCGGAATTCGGGACGTCCCGGAAGGTGGGGAGGGAGTCGTACGGGCCGGGTTTTGGGCCCGCGTTCCCGTTTTCCCTTGCATGCGGCGGGTGGTCGTGGGCTCTTCTGGATGAATTGGGGGGGTAATTGGAGGGCCCGCCATTTTCACGGTTGTCTGATAGCTTGGTTTGCTTACGAGGGAGCTTGTTGAGGATGTTCTTTATCATCACTTGGAGGTTTCTATGAGTTGAGAGACTTTCTTTGAGGGAACTCAAATGCTGCTGATGTTTAAGTTGTGGTTTTTTTTGGAAGCAGAAGCAAAAGCCCTAATATGTGAAGAAAAGTGCTGGAAAATGTGACAAATCGGTCAGTAAATGAGTTCGGCTCCTAAATTCTCTACCACCAAACTTAAAGGCAAATAATTGTTGCACTTGTAGTATTCCAGCTAATGAGTTATCACCTGCTGGAGCAAAAGGGACATAAATGGTAAAAATGAACAAGATTAGCTTGGGGGAAAAGCAAAAAAATCACAAAGTGGAATTAGCCAGATTTTCTCATCTGTTTTGTCGAATTTGAAAAGAATTATCCAATAATCTCTTTGAGAAAGAAGCAGGGATTTTTACCAGCCTAATTTGGATATACATTTCATAGGAACATTGCCTAAATTGGTGAAATGATTCGACCAGAGATCTCTCACCAATTTAATTTATTCGCTCAAAAAAATTAAATAAATAAAAAGAAAAACAAATGTAAAAACAAAGGGAAAAATGCAAATTTGTGCACTCACCTCAGCTTTCCATTTATGTCCTCATTTTTACAAGAATCCCAACTATTCAGCCAGATCAGGACATCTTAAGATCTGACCGCGATCTGGAAGAACCAGCTTAAATGTCAATCATAAAACCGCGTGAAAAGCATCAAGAAAATCAACACCCATAACCCTAATATTCAAATTCTGCAGGTAGATGCAATCCATGGATGTAGAAAAAGCCGGATATTACGGGCCATTAATGGTAAATTAAAGCATACGGCTCACTTCAATTTTGATTACAAAATACAGCAATTACAAACTACAGCAGAAAATAAAAGGCAAAAAACAAAAGGGGTCGGAAAGGATTGAAGTTTTTGCGAGTTGCAGGCAATTAGGGAGAGAGAAAGGCAAAGGTGCGCGCGACGGGGTTTAAGCCGAAAAGGGGAAAATGAATAAATAAATAAAGCAATTAAAGAAAATGTTGGGTCGATGATGGGTTGGGTTGTGGGGATGCTGCACTTGGTGTAATTGTGTTTGATTTGATATTTGCTGAAAAATTATTGTTATGTTTTGTCATTTGTGTTCTTTGTTTTTTGTTTTCTGATTTTCTCTATGTGGATGGCTCATCATTTTTTTCATCCCTCCTTCATTTTTTTAGGGCGTTACTATTCACCGCCCCCCATTTTATTAGTCACCGTTTCTTTTGGACAATTTTGTCCTTCTCATTTTTTCTAAACATCTCAGAGGAAAGTGTACGGTGAAATGTCGTCAAATTCGGAGGTACGAAAAAATACGTGTCCGGCCGCCGGTTCCGGACAGCTTATAGCCTGTCCGGAACCGGCGTCCGGACGGCTTAAAGACCGTCCGGAACAGGCGGCCGGACGGCTTAAAGACCGTCCGGAAAGCATGGCCGGTCGGACCGGCCGTGTCCGAACCGGCCGGCCGAACGGCAAGAAAGCCGTCCGGAAACGACGGCCGATCGGTCGATTTTTTTTTTTTTTTTTTTAGATATTATCGTGTTACGAGTTAGAAATTATTACATTATATATTAGTTTTAGTTATGTTATAAATTGACGTTAGATAGTATCGTGTTAAGAGTTACAAGTTATTGTGTTACATGTTTATTATAATATAAATTGGACGTTAGATATTATCGTGATCGTGTTAGGAGTTACAAATTATAATAATTGAACGTTAGATAATATCATGTTACGAGTTACAAATTATTATGTTACATCGTACATTAATTATCTTAATTTAACATGTTCTAAAAATAAAAATATTGTACCATATAGCAGGAGTCATGGGAAGATTTTGGAGGAGATGGTGTTGATTACAGTCTGCGTTTCGATACATGTTCTTTCTATAATAGTGCTCAGGAGGCTATTGAAGCTGCAAAACACCAGGCAATGCTGAATGGTTTCCTATTAATTATTTCGAGCCACAAAAAGAAAACGGTCAGACTTTTGAAGTGCCATAGAGGCGAACGGTACAGAGGCACAGGCGGAAATTCTAGAAGGACAAAAACGAATAAGTGCGGCTGCAATTTTGAGATCAAAGTAAAAAAGGTGTCCGGCGTTCCATACTGGAGGATCTGTAGATGTAGCAATGAAGAGAAAGGCTACCATAACCATGCAATTGCTGTGTATCCTGAGGGTCATAGCCAGTTGAGCGGTCTCAGCGCTTCATCTAAGAGAATTGTTCGTGACATGACGGACGCTCAGGTGGCCCCGAAAAAAATTATGGCCGCGCTGAAGGAAAAGAATCCGGGAGACAACGTTCATGTGCGCCAGGTATATATATTTATATCTTGTAATATATGTTTTAATTAAATTTTTTAAGTTAATTATGATAATTAGTAATTTTTTATATGTAAAAGTTATTGTAATAACTAATAAATTTTATTATATTTACTAATGTATTATTATTGTGATAGTTAATAATTTTTTTATCAAATTAATCGCATTAATATACTTTTTTATTTATTAATATAATAAACTTTTTGTTTTAAATTATAATAATCATTATAATTAACGCTAATCGGTGACAGGTATATAACTTTAGAGATAAGCTGCAGAGAGAGGGTTCCGACGGTAGAGACGTTCCTACTCAGCTTATGCATTTGGCCGTGAGCAGCGAGTATACAGTTTATGTAGAATCCGATCCGAACACGAAAGTGTTGACGCATATATTCATGGCCCATCCTGCGTCGATCAATCTATTCCGGACATATCACTGGTATGTCGGTATAGATTCCACGTATAAAACCAACAGGTATGTTACTTTATAAATACTTTATTAGTATGAATCTTAAAAGTGTTGACGCATATATTTATGTGCTTATATTTTTTGTCTTCTTGGTCACATTTGCACAGGTACAAGATGCCGTTGGTCGAGATGATTGGGATGACGCCGTGCAACCAGAACTTCCTAATTGCGTATGCCCTCATCAGGGACGAGAAAGAGACCAGTTACGACTGGGTTCTAGAGAAGTTGAGACTACTGATAGGCCAAAGCGTATATCCTCATGTTGTTGTCAGTGACAGAGAGTTGGGTCTACTCACTCCTATTCAGAGGCATTTTCCTGAAGCAGCCCACTTACTCTGCACGTGGCACATCAACAAGGATGTGGAAGCCAGAACCTACCACCTATTTGGGAAGAATAAAAAATTCTTGGAGATTTTCACGCACAGTACGTGGAAGGCGATTGCAGAGCCCATGGCAGGCGTCCGAATCCGGGTCCTCAGCGACCACGACTCCCTCTACTGGAACGCCCAAAATGGCCCGGACGTCGTGCAGCATGATGCTCATCTCACCAAAAGGCATGTGAAACGAGTTAGTATCCGGCTGCCATCGCTCCACAAAAGCAGAAAGGAGTGGGGTGTCCAACTGGGTGTGCATGGAGTCGACCAAATGTGACAGCCCGGTCTGGTCGAGAAGAGCTCCCGCGTCGGAAGACATCTCTTCACGCCAAGCCTTCATATTATCGATCGCTCGCACTCTGTTGTGGCATTTCAGTAGCCCCCTCAAATTCCCACTCCACATGCGGGAGGCGACGTTCCCAAGAAAGCTAGGGATGACACTCCCATCAATGGGCCCACCGGACACTGGGCCTCTAACGATCCAATGTGCATCATCATCGGTCCTAGCTCGTTTGCTAGTACCTGCATTAAAATACAACATATCTGTATATATTGACTTGCTGGCAGATGCATTAAATAAAATATATTTAATAAAACATATTTTATTAGTTACGTTACATTTTACATTTTACGTTATTATTATAAGCATATATAATTTATAATTATTAATATTATTTTTTGAATTTATAATTAATTACAATTTATTCAACTTACCCTAAATTACAAAATAATTATACTGTAGTTGACGAGCAGGCCGATAATACTTTTCTAACAGTACCGATAATTTGTTATGATTAAGTGAAAATAATTTATGTTAAACAACAATAAATAAGTAAATTATTTACCTGATGAGGATGCAGATAGGCCAAAACGCCCCCCAGCCTGCCGTCGAGGAGCAGGCTGTGTGGGACGAACAGCATGTACCGGACGAACTGGCTGTACAGTAGGCTGTACCGGACGAACTAGCTGTACAGTAGGACGAGGGTGGTTAGGACCCGTAGGCTGTGCGTGGTCCTGATCATCTGAAGAGTCGTCCGAGTCATAGTCCTCTGGACCCGGCTCCCTCTCGCCGTACGACTCATCATCAGCATACCCCTGCTGACCATAAGGTAATGGTACGCGTGCGCGGGGGGGTAACGACTTCCCTGCGTAGCGGGGAAAAGCACATCCCGGCTGATCGTACGGTCCTGGTGCCGGGGGCATCGTCCTGCCCGTCTGGCCAGGAAAATAAAATCCATGTTCGCCGTACGGGAGGGCTCCGTGGGGTCGCGAACTACCTGGCTGGCCCTCAAAATGATATGGACCAGTGGGCACTGGTGCGGGGGGGCGGGAACTCTGGCTCGCCTGACGAAGCTGTACCCTACGAGCCTCATCGATCAACGCCTGCCTTTCCGTATCCCTCTCCCGACGAACGGACGCATTGACACCCCGACTTCTAGTGTGTCGGGTGCCAGAACCATCATAATAGTCATCGTACGCCTCGTCGTCGTCCCTGGCATTAGATTATCCAGGTCTGCCAACACCCTGAATCAGAAATATAATTATTAGATTTTTCCAATGTAATGATTATTCTAATAACTATTAAAATAGATTATAATCCATTTTTCTTTTCATATATAAATTTTATTAATTATTATTATAATTATAATTGTTGAGATTTATAATAGTTATTATAATTTTATAGTTCAATAATTACAATTAACATTAATTTATAATTATTATTATATTTAATTATAATTATCATTACAAATTTTAATTATTATTTCTTATAATATTATTATTATAAGCATATATAATATTATATAATTATTAATATTTTTTTTCAAATTTATAATTAATTATAATTATTATAATTATTTATTATTATAATTATAATTTATAATTAATACTAATTATAATTATTATTATTATTTATTATTATAATTTATAATTT